ATATTATTATTTTAAACATCTGTTTTCTTCGTTTCATAGCTTTTCTCCTGGCTGTGCAGCTTCAAGCAGCTTACTTATTTTAGAGCTTTTATCCAATCATATTTCGGTCATCCTCTGTTGCTAGGGTCCAGAAATCTGCTTCAGGCCTTAAGAATGAACAGCAAAGGCACCTGGAGGGTGAGACAAACAGCAACAATATTGTTGCTTTGATCATTCAGGTGCTGAGTTGAAGACCTCAGAGCCTGCTTGCTGGCCTCGGACAGCATCAAGATTTTCTCATCGTTTGATTGGCTGATCAGAGTGCAGACATTCAGAACCGGGAAACCTTTCTGTAGTCTTACAAGCTAAATGCTGAGCGGACATTATCAGAGTTACAGGAAATTAAAACTTATAACAGAAATACAGAACAGAACAGACTGGACTTCCAGTGTTAGCTTCATGGTGGTGATAGAAAAGGACTTAAGGTTGAAACGGAAACGCCATGAAAGGACCTGTATGACAGAGGAGCCGGGTTTTTCTTGAGGAATAAAAGGAGAATGGAGTTTTTAAACGGATAATAAAAAGTTTTGGTGAATAAAATATATGTTATTTAAATGTTTTATTTAGTTATCAGCTTATTAAATAAGTAACCGTACTGATGCTGTTGTTAATGTGTGGCACAGCTGTGGCTGCAGTTGAGAAAACTTATTAAATGTGTCACTTCAGTGATGACTTTCATTCTGGCTTCATGAGACACCTGTTTGTGTGGTGCACAGCAGCATATTGTTCTGCGTTTCTGTGTATTATTGGTGGTTTTTGTAGTCGTGGCTTGGTGTCAAGTTGTACAGATTGTCTGTAAATTAGACAGGTTTCTCCCGTCTTGCATACAGACCTGTAGGACTGTCTGATAGATTTCTCTTTATTATAAACCTATTATTTCAGAGCTGGCAGCCTTTCCGCAGCGTCGTCCCCCACCCCCCCGTCCAGCAGGTCTGTTCTCTCCCAATTGAAGGCCTAGGTGTAAAACGCACAGCCCGCCACTGTCTAAACACCTGCAAAAGATTCCTGAGGCTTTTAAAAACTTCCAGCCTGGTTCATTACTCAAAACCGCAATCATGGGTAAGACTGCTGACCTGACTGCTGTCCAAAAGGCCATCATTGACACCCTCAAGCCAGAGGGTAAGACACAGAAAGACATTTCTGAACCAATAGGCTGTTCCCAGAGTGCTGTATCAAGGCACCTCAGTGGGAAGTCTGTGGGAAGGAAAACGTGTGGCAGAAAACACTGCACAACAAGAAGAGTTGTCAGTCAGTGATGGTGCCATGTCAGCTGCTGGTGTTGGTCCACTGTGTTTTATCAAGGCCAGGGTCAATGCAGCTAGCTATCAGGAGATTTTGGAGCACTTCATGCTTCCATCTGCTGAAAAGCTTTATGGAGATGAAGATTTCATTTTTCAGCACAACCTGGCACCTGCTCACAGTGCCAAAACCACTGGTAAATGGTTTACTGACCATGGTATTACTGTGCTCAATTGGCCTGCCAACTCTCCTGACCTGAACCCCAGAGAGAATCTGTGGGATATTGGGAAGAGAAAGTTGAGACACAAGACCCAACACTCTGGATGAGCTTAAGGCAGCTATTGAAGGAACCTGGGCCTCCATAACACCTCAGCAGTGCCACAGACTGATTGCCTCCATGCCACGCCGCATTGAAGCTGCCATTTCTGCAAAAGGATTCCCCACCAAGTACTGAGTGCATAACTGAACATAATTATTTGAAGGTTGATTGTTTTTGTATTAAAAACACTTTTCTTTTATTGGTCGGATGAAATATGCTAATTTTTTGAGACAGGGATTTTTGATTTTTCTTTACTTTTTTTTGCCAAAATCATCAATATTAAAACAATAAAAGGCTTGAACTATTTCAGTTGGTGTGCAATGAATCTAAATATATATGAAAATTTAATGCTTATCAGAACATTACAGAACTTTATCATGATATGCTAATTTTTTAGAAGGACCTCTATATATACTGTAGATACATAGATGTACAACCTCTTCACCCCTGAATGAGGTCATCTACCAGAGGTCTGGGAGTTTCAGGGTGCAATATTTTTGCTGTCCTCAGGACTGTGATATTCTAATTCTCTCTTGTTGTTCCTGGGATCTGCTGGAGCCACTCTTACCCGTACCATTACTCGTACCATTGGCACCATCAAGCCCTCGACTCTCCGCAACATCTCTCTCTTTCGGCTATTGGTATTTGTCAAGTTCTTTCAGTGATTTGTCAACCACCATGTGTTGCGACTGGTTAGTCATCATCTCTTTGTTGGTCTGGATCTGAAAGTTCCACATTATCCTTGCACTCACTTTCACCCTTGGCGGAGCCTCTCAATTTGACTGTGGGACTTGTGTACTAGACATAGATGTCCCTGAGCAATATTCCAGTGATTTTGTTTTAGTGGTTCATGTATGCTTTGCCTACTTGGGTCTTATATTCTGCTATTACGTGTTGATCTGTCTCAGGGACATCTTTGCAGAGCAGAGCCTTGACAAATGTATACAGTACAAGAATACACAATGAACCATGTTGTTGAGTTGTATCTGAACACCCAGTGAGTGGATGAGAGATTAATAAAAAAAAACTAGCTTGTGGTTCATGAGATATTCCCCTAACAAACAAATGAAATTAGACACACACTACATGATTGTTTAATTCCTATTATTATTTAAGTAATAAAAAATAAATAAATAAATTTTAACCATCAAACCAAAAACCAGATAAGCATATTTTGTACTTTTAATCAACTGTTCATAGAAATCTATATATGCTCAGAAGAACCTCAGAGTTATATTCTTGTCTCCTCTGGTCATCAATGTTTTGTATTTTTAAAATACATTTAGTCCCTCAAAACATCTTAACTTATGAAGTAATCTGTGATCAAAAACTATTACAATAATCAAACTGTAAACACAAAACAAGGTATACTGTATGTTAGGAACAAACCTCCAAAGCTTTTCTAAACCTCAACCATTGATTTAGTCGTTAAGACGAGAAACTAGGTCAGAAATCAGCTAAAAGACCTAAAGCTGGCTGGATTAGCAGTGAGCATAACCGTCCAAAAACACAGCTAAATACTGTAAGATGATCTATTACGCAACATAATGCAACATTTTTTTGCCTTATTTAACATAAATGAGAAAAGTCGTGATGTAAGAAAAGGTAATAATTTACAGATCTAAGACTGTGGCTTTTGATTTTGTTACTGTTTCATGTTAATTTCAACTTCCCATTGGAGGATTTTTTTTTAAACTTCATTAAACTATTTTTAATCCAGATACCATTAAGACAAGCTGCTGCAGTATTGAAGTCTTGTCAATATGGTGTTTAAAAAATATTTATTTACAATCAGTGACTTTTCTTCAGATAGTTTTGTTCAAAGAGTTCAACAAATGCTTAAAGAGTTAAAAACTAGAATCATGAACTGAAACTATGTAATTATTGTACCTGTTGTGATAAGCAATGAATCAAGTAACTATACACTAAATTAAAATGAGGGTGATCATTTTCATTAACCTGCTTGTTTGTTTTCTTTGTGCATCCCTCTTTTCTACTGTTTAGCATAGAGAGGAAAGAACTCTCATGCCAGGTATTTGACAGGCGCATGGTTTTGCAACCTCTGTAGCATGAGAGCCTCGTGAACAGGCATATAGCTGGAAGAGTGTCTTTGGTTTTTCAATGCTTTCTTTCAGTTGGAAATGCCTCAGGACACCATGCCAAATCTTGGGTTTACAGAAATTTGGGTTTCATGTTTTGTTTTACAAATATGTATTTTTCGTAAACTTCATAAGCAGTGTACGGACGACCATAAATATTTTATGAAACCAGAGGAATACAAAGAATAAATTGTGCCGGCTTGGACAGAGGAGGTGTGAAGTGATTTTACAACTTCAGCAACTGTTTTGTGTTTTCCCAATCCCCGGTACAGGTCAGTTCATAACTTTATTTTATGTACATACATTTCAAAAACTTCTATAAGCTTTGTAAGACAGGTGGAGGGTAACATTATATAAGTGTAAATGGTCTCCAAACAATATTATCGTTTATCACAATGATTTCTGAGACTATTTATTGTCCTGCAAAATTTGTTTTTATGTAACTATAAACATGTCTAAGACAAAACCAGTAAATTGTATAACTCACCAACACATAATGGAAGTGGGCTGTCCCAGGCCCTCCTTTCCCCCCTCAGGCAGGTGAGCACCTCAGTGCCTTTCAGGGTGTATCCCGGGTCACAGCTGTATGACACTGTGCTCCCTGCAAAATGGCCCTTATCTTCTCGCTTGTACCCAAACTGGGGGACACCTGGATCCTCACATTTAACCAGTTCAAAACCTTTAAAAAAGAGTTCAAAGAAAGATATGATAAATTTAAAGTGTATCTATAGAACTGTGAGTTCGAAAATTGTACAATATACATCAAAAAGAAAAAAAGTAGGTCCTCTGGATGGGTTCTTCTTTAGTGAAACATTTTGTCTCTCCTCCAAGAGACTTCTTCAGTCTGATGAGTTTCAGGTGAACTCAGCCTTATAAGCACTGCCTCCACATGGACAAACAGGTTAGTCACATGCAAAAGAGGGCCATCGCCTAACAATAGGCTTGAAAAAAAACAATAGGCTTGATTACATAGAGGGTCATGTGCCCCATCACCTTACTTATTGGTTTGGATGCTTCGGCTGTGGTTATTTGGTGTTTTGTTCTGTGTATGTAGTGAGTGCAAGCGGGGTTCAATGTCCCCTTGTTTTTGTCTCTCTTTCCCTTTTTGTGTTGGGTATCGTTGGGGCCCTGATTCACACCTTTTGCTCACTGTACCATATACAGCAAAGAAAATAAACTTTCTTTTCGGTTTAAGACAGTGGTTGTTACTTACTGGTGAAGTGCAACTCGAAGCCTTTGCTGGTGTTTTCTGCATTGCTGATGAACTCCAACCACATAGTGCTGGAGGTGGAGTTCAAGGTTGTGTCCAGCAGCTCGCTGCCTGTAAACACCCCCAGGAGACGAGCCATATTGCTGCTGCCATCAAAGACCTGGAAGGTGGAGAGAGCGAGGGAGAACGAAAAAAAATAGAAGCATCAAGTGAGCAAGCACACATATGCTAACGAGGCTGCATAAACATTTGTTGCAGAATACATCTCCCGCCACCCCCTCACTTTGAGCATGTCATCCTCCTCCAGCCTAAAGTCCCGTGCTCGTAGCTGAATGCCTTTGCCCGGCTGTGTCTGGATAGAGTAGATGCATTCGTGGTTGTTGCTGTAGTAACCGGGGTAGTTGGGTGAGAGCAGCACCCCTTGCATGCCAGTCACGGATGAGCCACATTCAGCTAGAGAAAAAGAGAGGGAGCAGGCGGAGACAGACAGAGGGAGAAGAAGTGTTGGAGGGAGCAGAGGACATGTCAATCGCTATATGCTTGAAACTCAGAGTGTATTTATTCATGCTGTCATGCACAGGGAGAGGAGAGAGGTGATGGGGAGAGGACTGCGGTCACTGACTGTACCTGAATGTTGAGTGGCACATCATCATAATCACACAGCAATCTGAATATGATTAACTATAATTTCAGCTCTATCCAAAAATTGCTATTCATGAGTCACTTTGTGGAGGGAAAAAAGTCAAAAAGGACAACATTTTCTAGAGTAAAATTGCTGCCAGAATTGAAATGACCACAAAGGTATCCTGGCTTTTATTACCATAAATGCAGCAAGGTATAATAAAGAAAATCGGGACTGTACTGACGGAGAAGTAGCAAGTTTTTTTTAAAATAGGGCAGGATTTCAAAAAAAGAAGAAAAAAGTGAAAATATCAAAAATTGTCTTCACTGTCATACTTCAAAAATCTCATCAAGAAGCAGAAACATCAAGAAACTACAAACTGGCAGCCTAAAGCTACAGTCAGCAAACATGAGCACAAAAAGGAAGCTATTTACACAAGTTTTTGTCTGGGAGTTTATTGATCTAGTTTAAGCTTAAAGATCTAAAACAAAGAAAGTGAAACAAACTAATAACTTAAGTGCCTTTAAATAAAACTAAACTCTAAAGAACTTTACATGTTTCTATAAAATAGGTTATAGGTTGTTGCTGTTTTCATATTTAAATACATTTCAGCAGCGCTTTTAATAAAGGTCAGCAATCACCAGGATCTATCTTTTAACTATGATTATGGCCATTAGCATCTAATTCAGTTTCATGTCGACAAATAAAAGCAGCAGTAAATGTTTGTTGTGCCATAAAAATCAGCATCCTGACCTAAATCTTGACCTGTCATTTTGCAAAGCATTAAAAACAAGTAACATCTATAATTAACCCATTTCTGCTTTTTGATGTCATTCTCATTAAAACCGCCGCCCTATATAATTTGGACAAAGTCACACAGGCTGTCTCTGGGAAACTATCCAAAGAGGAGACAAAACGTGGGCGTATAGAGAAACGTTAATGAGACATAACGAAAAAAGGCAAATTTTCAAATATGACGCTTTTTATAAGCGTTTAATTTGTGAAAGTATGTGAAAAAAGTGCTGAGGGAAGGAGGAGGGGATGGATTGGTGGGGGGGGAGGGTGACAAAAGGCAAAAAATAAAGCATGTGACCACCTACCAACACACCTTGGCAGAGGGGAGCTCCACACTCGCCTCCTGCCCCCTAAACACACCACCCGGGCTGGACCCTCGAGCCTGTAACCTGGGAAACAAGAAAAGATGAGGGCATCGCCGACTCCGTACTGAAGGCCTTTTCTGGTGCTGTAGGGTGGGATTCCCGGATCCTCGCATGGCTCCAAATCATACTCTGTAAAACAGGCAGAGGAAAAGACATTAATATGTTGTTAACAAAGATGCAGTATACAGAGACATACTCATTTTTTTTAATCACTGCCTGTGGGGCGTATGTGTGGGAAAAAATAAACCTAACGTTGACAATTTTTTTAAGTTTCAACAAGTAAAAAACACACAATAAAATATTCCTTTTTGAATTAAGGTTTAGATAAAAGCAATGAAAAAACCAAAATTGATGTTATCAAAATTACTTCAGAAAAGCTTTAAACTGGACTTGAGAGTTCATAAATTACCCCATACAACAAATCATTGTTTATCGCAATAATTGGAGACAATTTATTGCTCAGCAAAATTTGTTATCATGACAGCCACAAATAAGCTCCCCAATAGGTTCCCAAAATGACTTGCTCTAAGGCAGGGGTTCTTAACCTTTTTGACCTTGGGGCCCAATTTGTTGAACAAAGTGACACAAGGCCCAGTTTGACATTATCGATGTATGGATCAAAATGACAATTATTCTAAATCTTGGTTTAATTTTTATTGTATTTACATCTTAACTAAACTATCATCAATAACATAACTAAATTAAATACACTTACAGATTAAAAGTAAAACTCATGTCAAATAATCACAAGACTTGATTGTGACAAACATTTTTATATTGTAACCTGCCCAAAACAAT